AAGTCTTCAAAGTGACATCTTTGCTTTTTAACACTTCAAAGAGGTCCATTGCCACACAATCAGCATTGACTGGGAGTCAGCAGTGAGTTTGGTATGCTTGCCCCCTCCCCCCAGCAGATGTATGCCATGCAATTTGTTGTTTGATTTCCTTACTGGTGTGTGGTCAAATTGGCTGCTAACTCAAGATCGATGGTTTAAACCCACTAGCTTCTCTGTGGGAGAAACATGAAGCCCTCTGCTCCCATAACGATTTACAGCCTTGGAAATGACTCCAGGGCAGTGGGCTTTTCTGTGTCTGTTTTGTTATTTCCATGTGTGTTGATTATGGCTCCATGTAAACTGAAATGCCTGACAACGTCAGCCTTGTCTCTGTTAATCATGATGTTGCTGATGGGTCCACTTGTAAGGAGTTTGGTTTTCATGATTTTGAGGCATAATCTCGAATATGCTTGTCCTCTTTGATCTCCGTCAGTAAGTTCAAGTCCTCTTTGTTTTCAGCAAGTAAGGTTATGTTACCTGGATCTGGGGTACTAGTATGTTCTATAAGGAGGCCTGTTTAGACACTCATTGCTGACCTAAAAGTTAGTGGTTCAATCTCACCCAGTGGACGAAAGAGCTGGTGATCTGTTTCTCTAAAGATTCCAGCCTAGAAAGTATGACGGGCAATTCTACTCTGTCACAGGGAGTGGCTATGAATTGAAAATCAACTTGACAGCACATAACAACAACAACAACACTGTGTACTAAGCTCTGTTCCAGTGGCTTTCAAGTTCTACCAAGTCTTTGAAAGAGCATTGACCCGATTATGGTTTTTCATGCCCTGTAGATATGATATATATGATATACAAGATATATATGATATATATATATATGATACCTATGACATATGGTACTTCCTGTCTTTTTACTCCAACAATATTCATCTTCATTGGATTGCCAATTGTTCTGGCCTCACAGGAGAGGTATTTTTCTAAGTTTTATGCCATTTTTTTCTCACATGCTATTTGGAAAAGATTTAGCATAGCATGTTCTGTATAGTATCTGCATGATTCCATGAAAAGACAAGGTGTATGTTCGCTATCCTTGATCTCATAAGGTCCTGTAACCTATGGGTGGGGGGGGGTCTGGCTCTCTCCAGTTTACAAAGGAGAAAAACGAAGGCAACAGGGGAATGTTTGCTCCCAGCTGGACCTGGCGGTGAGGGGCACCAGCTCATTGTTTTCCTAGGTCTCAGGGATTGTGGCCAGTGGACCAGGACATGTTTTCAAGCTTGGGTTCCTCCAGACGGCCCATCCATGTGAAGGAGGGTGATCCTAGGTATTGGGAGCACTGGCTTTCGAGTCAGAAGACCTGGGATCCAATCCTAGTTCTCTCATCTCTGGGGTGTAGACCGCGGCATACTCATCTTTAAAAGGGAGTGTTTCAATTATGATTTAAATTTAGGTTTTCAACACTGAGTTCTGTGGTCTGGTAGCAGAGTGGTTGCTTCTTTTGCTTTGTGAGGTTGGCAGTTGGGAACCATCAGCTGCTCCACAAGAGAAAGAAAGCTTTCTACTCTCACAAAGCGTTTCAGTCTCAGCAACACACAGGGACAGGTCTAGCTACCCTGTCCTCTAGGGTCACCATGAGTGGGAATCAACTTGATGGCAGGGTGTTTCTGTTGTTGTCATGACATGTTGTCCTGTTCCCATGCCAACTTTTCATCTTCTCTTTTGCCTCCATCCTATTGCATTTTAAGATGACCATGACTTTTCTTTCTCTTAAGGCTGATGTTGAAGAGGGCCACTTTGCATTCTTCGCCTCTACTCGGTGACTCATACTTTCCAGTAAGGGTGTTTGGTCTGAACCTAGTTCTTTCCTTCAGAATTACTTCAGGCAGATATTCAAGAGGCAATGACTTGACACACATGAGGCAGGACTTGGTGATTAGAAAATGACAGATTTGGTTTCCTTGCTTCCTTTCCTTCGTGTTAAGACTAAGTAAAGAATTCAAGCAAAAAGGAAGGTTGATAAATAGAAATTTTGCTTGTGATAATGCTTTAAAACTTTTTCAAGAGATATCAGCAGCCTTGAGGAAAAGCCTGTTTTTTTTGTTTTTGACAGATGATCTCATGTTACCGGGCACTCTGGGTCCCTGGAGAATCTCTTGACTTGAGTTTTGAGATTCTTAAAAGTACTCCTTCTTCAGGAGAGAAAGTGGAACACATCCTGGCCCACCAAGCCCCAAGGATGATATTCCTGCTCAGAGCAGCCAGTGCATAGAGAGGACCATCAGGCTGCCCCCACCACAAGACATGACACCCCTTACTCTCCCATAGCACTTTGAGGGACAACACTGGAGACACAGTGCAGGAATTGTGCCC